GGTGGATGAGACAATAGGTGGGAAGAAGAGCAAGTGAGTGGATGAATGAGATGATGGATACAGTTGGTTGGGTGGATGTATAAACTGATGGATGAGTAGGTGGCCCAGATAGAAGCTGAGTGACCATTGGCCTGGGTCTAAGAGATCCCATTCTCCCGCCTCTGCCTTGGCAAGTTGCTTCCTCAAAATGACCATTGGACTGAAAAGAGAGAGCCAGGGGGGTTGAGAATAACTGGAGGGTGTCCAGGCCACAGTCTGGGCAGTGAGCCCAGTGAGCAAAGACCAGAAGATACCGCTCCGTGAACACTGGACATTTCACTGCCCTCACCACAGCTCGGTGTGTCCCCTTTGCCCTCTCGGCCGCTGGTTGCTGTGGTTCAGGTGAGGGGCAAAGCCTCAAGGGAAATGTCGCTCTGGGCGGGGGGCACTGGAGGTGGCGGGGGGGAGGGCAGTCCCCGCATGCCCCACTCCGGCGGCCCCTGGTTGGTAGAGCAGTCACATGACTGCATCCTGGCTGCCAGGGAGGCTGCGAGCAGGTGCAGCCTCCTGCCCTGAGGAGGCTGTTCCAGAGCCACAGATGTGACAGGTAAGTGTCCCCTCCTCGCACCATCCTCCCCATCCCAGCCCTTTCCTTTCTCTGTCACCACTGACCAGGCTCGGTCCTGGCCACGGCGTCGTCAGACACAGAACGCAGACCATGCCCGGTGTTTCTGACCCAGCGCACAGGGGCTCCGAGAGCCTTAGGGCCCTTCAGGCTTTTGCTCAGCTGCTCTCCCTTCCCAACTCTCCCTCCCTCCCCCCGACCTCTTCCCACCCCTGACTCCCAGAGGGATCCAGCTCAAATTCCAGATGGGGGGGGCCCTGGCCCGGCTCACACAGCACCCTCCGCTCCGCTGCCAGCGCTTCCCTGCGCCAGCGCCACCACCTAGACAGCCCGGGTGGCTTCCCTCTCCGCCCCCTCGTACCCGTGCCTTTGGGCATGTCCCTTCCCTTCTCCGAGCCTCTGTTTTCTTAGCTTGTAGAATGGGCTCCCACCTACCCCTTAGAGTTGGTGTGAGGGTTAGATGAGACCATGTGGGTCGGGGGCCCAGGGGTCCCCACTCTGGGATGCAGTGGAGCCCAGGCTCCGTGAGGGAGCCAGCGTCGGGCACAGCAGCCCTGGCTGCAGAGGGCCCCAAACCACACCCCTCCTGGGCTTCCCAGGGCCCTGTCAAGGCCTTGCCCCGAGGTCTGTGAGAGCGGCCTCTCCCTGTCCAGCGGTCTTGGGGTCCCACTGCCCGAGGCTGGGGTCCGTCCCAGGGTCCCTTAGAGCTCAGGGGTCAGCTTCAGCCATAGGTGCTGGTTCCACTGTGGTGACTGACCATAGTCCAGATGGGCCATTGAGAGAAACTACAATATGGGGTGAGTGTTCCTCCCACCCCCACCCGGACACCAGGCCGGCGGGAAGGAGTGGGCAGGCTGGGCCTGGTGGGGGTTGGGAGGAAGGACCAGGCTGTGATGAGGGTGCTGTGAACACACAGCGGGAGGGCGGTGAGCAAAGGCCGAAGGGGGACGAGCCTGCTCAGGACGTGGACGGTCAGGCAGGGGCTCCGAAGGAGTGGCTCCCAGGTCACGTGGCTCTCCTGGGTCAAGCCTGACGATTGTGTGGGTTGGCTCAGGTTTTGACTGCTCGCTGGGCCTCAGTTTCTCCAACTGCAGTGAAGGTGGATCCGTGGAGGATGCCCCTGCCCTCGGTCATGCCAGGGTCCGCTGTGCCTGTTCCCAAGCTTGGGCTGCCCCTCCTCTCCCTCACTCCTCTCAGCTGCTCGGCCCAGAGAGGGTGCTGACTCTCCCCAAGTCACACAGCCTGTCAGGATGGGCGGCAGAGCCTCAGGGCCGAGCACAGCTTAGACACTGGGTGACCCGGCTGGACAGTTCACTGCCCAGCTCTGCCTCCTCAGTGACCTTTGGACCATCCTTGAAACCCTGTGACAGCCCGGGCAGCCTGGGGGGAGGTGGGGGGCGGGATTGTGTTTGGGGGCCCTTTGCAGCCAGGACCTCTGCACCAAACACTGACTCCCTTACAGAGAGTCTGGGCTCCACTGCATCCCAGAGTAGGGACCCCTGGGCCCCAGACACATGCGATCTCATTTAACCTCATACCAACTCTAAGCCCGGGGAGGGACAGGCCTGGAGGCTCCGACTGGACACCCCCATGTTCCAGCTCCAGCTCCAGTTCTGGTGCCCTGGTGCCCTTGGGCATTCTGTCTGAGCCCCAGGTTCCACATCTGGGAAATGGGTGGGCATGTCACGTCCAAAACAAAGCAGGCGGGATCATGAGCCACGCCTGTCTCTCTGGGGGCTGCAAGGGCAGAGCATGTTGCTGAGGGGGTGAAGGGGAGAGGACACTTCTCACCTGGGTGGCCGCCAGGTACATACATGCCTCAATGAGCAACGTGTGGGCCGTTGTGGTGGTGGCCCAGGCTGCCAGCAGCTCGAGCTGGGCTGCCTTCCGCCCTGAGCTGGGCACCTGTGAAGTAACAGGCCTGCTTGGCAGCCCTCAGGCCTCCTCGGGACTCATGTTCACCCCAGGCCTCGCGTCCCTGCTGGTGATTTTCCAAGGCCGCGTGCAGCTGTCCACTGGGAGCCTGCCTGGCTCTGGCCAGAGCACCGGCCCGGCTGCAGGACCTGAACTCAGTGGACTGGACTGCGGCAGCGGTGGGTGGCAGTGGGGGTAGAGCTGGGTGGGGAGACCCCAGCGCTCCTGCTCTCTGGCTGGACCTCAGCCAGCACCACCCTCCCTGGCTTTCTGCCAACTTGTTACCAACACTTCCTGCCCAGGGATCTCCGGGCCCATAAATACCTGCTGCTCTGCATGGGGCACACCCCAGCCCCGGAGGTCCAGGAAGCCGGACACCCCGGCAGGGAGCCACCGCACAGCTAACGCATGGGGCGCACTCCCCCCAGGCTGTGTCCCGGTCTCCCCTATATAACACCGGAGCATTACCCCTTTCTACAAGCACACCCTGGTGAAGGTCTGGGCCCCTCATCTCACCTTAGGACAGCGGTTCTCAACCTGTGGGTCACGACCCCTTTGGGGGTCCAACGACCCTTTCACAGAGGTCGCTTAAGACCATCGGGAAAGAGAAACCAAGATGGCGGCATAGGTAAACACCAGAAATTGCTGCCTCGTACAACTAATTCAAAAATACAACTAAAAGATAAAACGGACATCATCCAGAACCACAGGAAGGCTGGCTGAGTGGAAACTCTACAACTAGAAGGAAAGAGAAAAGCACGCTGAGACTCAGAGGAGGTGCGGAAGTACAGAGGTACGAAGGCACATGTGGGAAGGGATGGCAACTGAGGACACGGTTGTCTTTTATGCTGCCTCGCAACTAATTCAAAAATACAACTAAAAGATAAAACGGACATCATCCAGAACCACAGGAAGGCTGGCTGAGTGGAAACTCTACAACTAGAAGGAAAGAGAAAAGCACACTGAGACTCAGAGGGGA